GCAGTGGAACCCTATCGTGAGCAGACAGATATCGGACATTATCGGCCTATGTTGTGTCAGTCGTATTGAGTCTTCCGCGTGGTTGCTTCAGTTTGAACTTGGACTTGAGGTTGGGTCCGAGTCCGAGTCCGGTCGGGTCGAGTCGAGTCCTAAATGATCATGTCATGGCCCATTGAGTGTGCAGTCCAGAGCCAGTGTGAGCAGTGAGTAGTGAGTGGTCTTTGGTGCCCCAGCGGGCCCCAGCAAGCCTTTTGGTGCTTTGCTTCGACGATGGATGTGGAAGTGCCAGATGGGGTGCCCGAGACTGACAAGGAGCCGGGCCGGGTCACCCGAATCAGGGCCGTGCTTGGGTTCGTTAGAATTGATAATTGAAGTAAATCCAATCCAATCCAATGAATTTCACGGGGTATAACTCGATCCAGTTAATCCAGTTCCAGAAACCATCAGTCATGTTCACGACTTAAGTGAAGACAGTGAAGAGTGAAGTGAAGATGTAACACAAGTAAGGCCGTAACGCGTGCTAAAATCAACTAGCTACAAATAACTGCTAGCTGTTAACTTCAGATGGGTCAATGGGTCACATACTGTATGGTGGAACAGTGGAACAGCCAGGACTCGGCGAATCGGGCAGTGCAGCAACAAGGTCCACCGGGGGCTCAGGCGGGGCCACCGGCGCCAGAGTGCTCGTTGGAGATTGCAAGTTGGGATTTGGAAATCAAGTGAATGTAACTAAATTCGATCTAGTCTATGGCTTCACATTACCGTATGGATCAACAATCAGATGAACTATCAGTCGTCTGAGTCGTGTTCACGACTTTAGTGAAGACACTGAAGTGAAGATATAACACAAGTAACGCACGCTAAAATCAACAAACGACAATTTGCTAGCTGTTAACTTCAGAAGGGTCACATACTAGATGGTGGAACAGCCAGGAGTCGGCGAATCGGGCAGTGCAACAGCAAGGTCCACCGGGGGCTCAGGCGGGGCCACCGGCGCCAGAGTGCTCGTTGGAGATTGCAAGTTGGGATTTGGAAATCAAGTGAATGTAACTAAATTCGATCTAGTCTATGGCTTCACATTACCGTATGGATCAACAATCAGATGAACTATCAGTCGTCTGAGTCGTGTTCACGACTTTAGTGAAGACACTGAAGTGAAGATATAACACAAGTAACGCACGCTAAAATCAACAAACGACAATTTGCTAGCTGTTAACTTCAGAAGGGTCACATACTAGATGGTGGAACAGCCAGGAGTCGGCGAATCGGGCAGTGCAACAGCAAGGTCCACCGGGGGCTCAGGCGGGGCCACCGGCGCCAGAGTGCTCGTTGGAGATTGCAAGTTGGGATTTGGAAATCAAGTGAATGTAACTAAATTCGACCTATGACCTATGGCTTCCCATTGCCGTATGGATCAGTAATCAGATACACAAACAATGAGCCTCTGACTCTGATGAGCCGGCGAGCCATACATATAAATGTCGACAATCTCTCTTTCGTGCCTGACATGTGTGGGGTGCTGTGAGGCTGTGAGGTTGTAGATTCCCGGAGTTGCCAGGATTTTTCGCTGCGCGGTTTGATGAAGCCCGGCGCCGACGGGACCATGGACAAATGCGTTATCGACAAATGCGAAGTCATGGTGCCGAAGGCGGACCGGAGCAGGCGCGCAGGCGACGCCCGTGTCACGACACGTAGTACTGCATGAGTACATGGCACGTAGATTAGCCTGCGAGCCTGTGAGCCGTGATATACTATGCCGCCGGCCGCCATGTCGCACGAGTCGCACGTCGTCTCAATTTGATTCACTAGTCACTAGTCTCTAGTGCTATGACTACAATGCGTCACATGATGCCACTGCTACTGCCATTACAGTAATTACATGGGAGTGTGACTCTGACTCTGACTAGCTATTGTGTGTAGTTGCGTGCGCCCGATAGTCCTGAATCCTGAAGGCGTATTGCCACAGACTGTTTCAGAGTGCCGGCAGGTGTCTGCCCGTGTGTGCGAAGCACGGCTGTGACAAAGAAGCCTTCTTCCAGCAGGCACGCAAGGCCAGGCGGTGAGATCGTTGACCGACACAGTCAGCATCATATTCTTGGGATCCTGGCCCTCCTGGCCATCAGGCTGGCACGGAGGAGAAGTTGCGCAAAATGGAGACAGAACAACCGGAACGCTTCCTCACGTACTTTGCCGAGTTCTGCGAGACGAGACTCGACTCAATCTTTTAGCCCAAGCTTTGGGAACTTGCCACGGTCAACTGTGGGGGCATGCAGTGGGGACAGTGGGGGGTGCGGTAAGGTCAGTCCAAAAGCCTCTGATTTTGTGATTTTGTGGGTGTGGAAGTGCGAGGGGCCTAGGGGCTTTGAGTCTTTGCAGTCGCTGTGGCTTATCCCAGAGACCGACCGCAGTACTGTGGGAGTAAGACATACCGTGACACCGCTGCCGCTGCCTCACCAGTGGGCAGCCGAGGTGCCCCAGCGAGGGGCGTGGGAGAAAACGCAATCAGTACGACTTCGGGAAGGTGATTGAAGAGGAAGTGTCCGGCACCAGGGCAAGTTGCAGGCGGATCAGGCGTCCTATGGATTACGAGCGCTTCGTGAAGCACTATGTCCAGTTCGCGCCGAAGTACGAGCGCCACTCGACTCAGAATGTGTAGCACGGCAGAAACCCAAATCACGAACCGTGCTCCCACTCCCACCCCCCGGACTGCGGACCCCACCAGCCCCAAGCCAAGCCAAGATAAACCAGCCAAGCCAAGACCTTTCAAGTCAGAACTGCCTATCACATGCTGGGCTCAGGTTTAAACGAAAAGGCCGCCGAGGCCAAGTGGCACACGATGTTGAACATGGACTCGACGAAGAAGGATCGGATTGAATCCGTTGATGAGCATGGCAACAATATGGGCAAGGCCAGCCTCCGGTTCGCCAGGACTTAGATTTGAAGCTATACATGTTTGGGTAATCATGTCCAGTATACGATTCGAATCTCTATAATCATCGCGACATCGGCGACAGGTCTGGCGCATCTGGGTGCTTGTGGATGAGGAGGCTGTGGACGAGGACTACGAGGCACCGAGTGGCAGTGATCGACTCGTGCGGGCTGGAATAGGATGACTGATGAATGTTTGGTTGTTTCCATAGTTTCCATTAGTTCGAAGTTCGAACATGATTCAATTTAGGCTATGTACCCACGTGAGAATGCGAGTGTTTGAGCTGCTTGCACTGCACGGCGCACTGCTACATTTCTCAGACCATGGCAGGACCACCGCGTTCGCCTGCAGCTCCAGCGAGATGGCACTGCAACCCGAAACCCGGGTAGCGACGACGTCGCGCGGCTGAAGGATCTGAAAGCGGAAGTGCGAGCTGAGATCGCAGTGGCTGCGGGCGATGAGGAGGGCGAGGGCCTCCGTGGGTCCCGGTCCACGACAACAAAAGGCCTCGGCGGCGGCAGAGGAAATGCCAAGCCGAATGCGAAGTCAAAGTCCAGCGCCGTTGCGCGAGCCAAGATCAGTATTCCCGTGGAGGTGGCCAAATTTCGCACGAAGACAATCAAGGACCGCCGGATTGGGGAGGGGACTGGAATGACTGGAAGTGATTGAAATTGCAATTCCAAACGAGGCTCAGGCGTGTGCTGCGCGGCCTGTGGTTTGCAGTCTGCATTCTGCATTGACTCAAGGTTGCCTTCGATTCGCTCAATTCGCTGCTTCCCTCAACCGTACCCCGGATGTTGTAGCATATCTTTGCTATACAGTAGAACTTCCGAATGTAGCCTCGCAGTCGCAGTGATGAAGCCCCGCCCACTTGCGACAAATGTAAACATGAGAGTCACGTCCGAGCTTCTGAGTCCGAAGATCCATTTCCATATAAATGTTAGTGTTAAGTTAAGCTATATGTATATACGATGTCCAGAGGAATAGAGTCTTGAGTCTGGGGTTTTGAAGCATTCTATATCAGGATGTGAACGACGTGCAGAAGGTCTTCGAGAGAGGCGTGGCAGAGGCCAACAGCGTCGTGACTGAGTCGCGGCAAGAAGGCAAGGAGGAGTTTTACGATCAGGTGTCTTTGAGGCTGATAGCCTCGCGGATGCAGATTGTGGACTTGGTGATGGCAGATCGCCCAGACGATGTGCCAGGGCAGGTTGATCAAAGGAGACGCCTGTATGACGCCTGCAGGAGGGATCCCTATCTGCGAGATCTTGAACAATCCGTTTTGAAGGAGAGCAACGTAAAAACCTGGGCGACCATTCAGCATGAGAGAACCTTCTCTTTGGCATTGCTGCCCAATGCTGAGATACTTGCGCAACGACTTGATGAGCACAAGTCTTCAATGACTGTGCTTCGTAAGATCGGAGAGTGTCTCTTCAAGGAGGCTCAGACACTAAAGGCTGGGGCGCACGCCTTGAAGCAGGCCGGGCCAGGGGAAATTTGTTGCGGTGAGTTCGAACACTTTGCAATTGGCTCGATTGTCGATTTATGAGGCCAAGGAAGCGGAGGAAAAAGCAGTGGAAAAACAGAAGAAGAAGGAAGCCGCAGCGCAAGCCAGGGAAGAGAAGAAGAAGGCAGCGACAGTGACAGCGACTGCGACAGTTGCGACAGTGTCAGTGACTGTCACTGTCAGTGTGTTCCAGTTCCGTAGTTTTGTGAACTTGTGACTCGTGAGTCGTGAGTGACTCCTCACTCGTGACTTGTTGCGTTGTTGCTTTGTTGCAAAGTGCCACGTCAAAGGCACAGAGTGGCACAGAGTCCATCTGTTTCTCTACTCCCTAGGAGCCTAGGGACCCTAGTTCATAATTCCTAAATTAACCTCCTTCACCCGTCAACTTCAACTCAAACCTAAATCTGAAAACCCGAGCCCCTGAACCTCAAGGCCCTCGAAGGTCTGAGACATGTATAAGGCGGCGGAGCGCGGCTTAGGCTTAGGGTTTACCCTAAACCCCGAAGGCCTTAGCCCGCCCCTAGCCCCACAATTTCTCTGTTGGTCAGGCCGAAAAGAAGAAGAAAGATGATGAAGCTGCGCAGAAAAAGATTGCAGCAGCTGCAAAGAAGAAAGAAGACAAGGAAAAGAAGGAGTCTGGCGGCGCTGCCGGCGATGCAGAGGCGGAGAAAGGCCAGCGCTTCTGAGCACTTTGCGGCCCTTCGTTCGAGAGGCAAAGTGTTGGAGTGTTGGAGAGAAAAGTGTAATGTTTTCATGCTTTACTTTCCATGTCAAACCACACCAAGCATCAAGCGTCAGTTCACTCAGACGGGGCCCCTGCTTGTTCGCCTCCTTGACTCCTTGCGCCATCGGCACGCGCCGCCGTCGCGTGGGTCATTCGTGTGGGGCCCAGGCGGCCTGGGGAGAGCTGCTGAATCTGCTGAAGCCGGACGGACGGAGGGAGGAGTTCGACTCGACTCAACGGCGTCGACGGCCATGGCACAGGCACAGCCACAGCTCAGTTTCCTGTTGGCCGAATTCCAGACGAAGCTGGAGCCGTACCGGCTGGCTTTCTGTCTCCGCTGCTGTGGTGGCTGCCGGGCTGAGGCTCAGGTGTTTCAGCTCACTGCAGCCTTCCTGATGGAATCGGAGAAGACCTGCCAGGAGTGCTGGATGGAGTTCCAGCATCGGTGCGCAATAATGATGAAGGAACACATCGGCACCGTCTGCCAAGATGTCGTGCGCCGTGGGACGATTTGCGACCTCGAAGGGTATGAGCCTGGACGCGTGTTTGGGATGCTCTGGGAGTGTTTGAATCAAAGGCAATCGGACCGATGCCAAAAACTTCTCTGCCTCCTGCGCCAGCATGGTCTGGAGAAAGCGGTCGCTGATCTCGGGGACTTCGTGTCCAAAGAGCTGAGAAACACGAGGACGCATGCCAACAAGTGGATCGTGAGGGTCTTGGACAATCTTGACAAGGAGGGCCGAGGAGGGAGCAGTCGGAGTCGGAGACTTCGAGTCTGAGACTGACTGAGAGTCTCTGAGACAGAATGACAGAACCGCAGAGCGTGCGGCGTGCATCAAAAGCTCTGCCCCTGATTTCCTGAGTTGAAAGAGCATGGCATGCCAGTGCAGTGCTCCCAGTGTTTGCATGCAGGTGATCGGAAGCGTCGTTCGTGCGGAAAGAAAATGCTTGCGGACGACGATGCTGCGGTGCTTCACGCCATGGCAGACATCCCAACCGCCGGGGTACAGATTCATTCGGACCTCATGCAATTCTTGACAGCAGTTGCTACAGATTCGGTTCAGCCATGCATTCTGAGATTGAAGAGGAGTCCTGTAAAGAAGATCGCGGACGTTGCTTTGATCAACCGGACACAATTCATAAAAGTCTGATATAATTGACGGACAGCACTGACAGCCAGGACTAGGACCCGGACTCCAGTAGCAGTGAGATGGCGGTGGTGGTCCGGTGGTTGTTGTTCTTCTCATTGCGGCATACCGCTAGAAATAGCTAAATAAAGCAGGAAAGCATTGCGTGTCAGTGGCCATAATGCTTTTGAGACGTTCATCCTGTCCAAGCCAAGCCGGTCCTACTTTAGTTTTGGAGCATGCTTGCCGAAGCCAAGGCTGTGTCGGAGAAGCTCCCAATGCTTTTGGAGTCGAAAGATGCCCGGGCCTTGGCGAAGAGCGTGAACACAGGACTCACGGCTTTTGCCGGCAAGATGACGAAGGAGACCTTTGGAGAGTCGGCGGCCGATGGGGCGGCGAAGCAAAAGCGCGTCTTGCAAAGCTTTGCTTGCGCGGAAACGAACGCTGCCGTGGTGCTAGGGCTGGACGTGCTGCTGCAGCTGGAGTGCGACAAGCTCCAGAAAAAGGTTGAGAAGACGCCGGCTGGGGCGCAGGCCGCATCCGCGGCAGACGCAGTTGCAGAGGGCATCGGCGAGGAGGAAGACGATGCCTTGAAGGCTGCTTTGTCTCGCCATGTCGCTGTTATGTTGGCATGAAAGATCGGTGTCGAAGTAATTCGTTATCGTGGTCCTCTTCACTTCTTCGAAGTTTTCCCACTTCATAGGTCGTTTCAATGAAAGCTGCAGCAACAGTTGGCTATGCTGGATTCATGAGTGAATGATTGAAATCCCAAATTTGCTTGATAATTCTGCCAAGAGTTGCCAAAAGTTTAAGAATTAGAAGTATTTGGACAGGAGACAGGACTCCAGGATGCAATTCGTGTGCCCAGACCGGGGTGCTAGTGCTGGGGCAGGAGAGCATCTTTTCCGAGAGACGCTATGTGCTGAACCGCCTGAAGGTCGCGGATGCTTTGAGGCCAGAGTGCAGGCAGTGATGACGGCGAGTCTGTGAGTCAGTGAGTCTGTTTTCATTCAGAGCTATCAGGTGCATGCGAAGTTATCCCAAGGTCGGATTTGGTAAGAGTCGCTGCCGGCGGGATCGGCGAAGTTCCGCAAAACGGAGAGTTCGAGAAGATCGTGCAAAAGATCACAGAGCTTCAGTTTACAGCGCAGAGCCACGGCCACAGCTACACCGGCTACATGCCGGGTGGCATGCCATGCTTCCTCTATTGCCACGACGGGAACCTCTTGGTTGCATCGATGGAGGCAAGGGAGGCACTTGAGCTCGCGTCCGCTGCCGCCGTTCACGCCGGAGCTCCCGATGCTGATGCAGTCGACTCAGTCGACCCGACCGAGCCGGTCACCAAGGAGGTCGGTCTCGTGGCAGCTTGGCTAGTTCTAGTTTTGTGAATTTGGACCATTTGGACTCCCGACTCGGACTTCTGACTTTTGCCCCGGTCCAGCCTAATGATCGTTTATACTGCCTGTTACGTGCTACTACCTCGTACACTAGTTACTTACGCTATCGTATGTGATAAATCCCACACCAACATGCCTCAAATCTCTGAAGATGTTCACTGAAAGCCATGCTGCCATGATTTGAAACTAAGGAAGCGGCGGCATTCTTGGAGGACATGGACTACAGTCGCTGGGAATCCGCTCAGCCTGATTCCTTTCGCACCTGCTATTTGGTGCCCGGTGACGTTCTGTATTTCCCTCCTGGATCGATCTGTGTGGATAAGTCAGTGGGTCAAAGCGGGAACCACTTTGTGGGTCTACGGTGCACCAGCAGCTGGGCGCAGATCGTGGGCTCGTGGGAGTGAATCCTCGTGGGAGTGAATCGTGCTTGATTGTTTGACCTTTCCTCCGAATTGTTCCTGAAAGGTCTTGAATCAGGCATCAAGAACACAGACACACAGGGACAGGGAGAGAGAGAGAGAGAGAGACAGAGAGACAGAGAGACAGAGAGACAGAGAGACAGAGAGACAGAGAGACAGAGAGACAGAGAGAGACAGAGAGAGACAGAGAGAGACAGAGAGACAGAGAGACAGAAAGAGACAGAGAGAGACAGAGAGACAGAGAGACAGAGAGACAGAGAAACAGAGAGACAGAGAGAGAGAGAGAGAGAGACAGAGAGAGAGAGAGAGAGAGAGAAAGCACAAAAACAAAGGCATGCTTGCAGTGCCGGCGGCCTCCACATCCACCCAGCTCTTCGCGAAGGAGTTTCCGAAGCCGAGACCCGAGATATCCTTGTAGTTTTGTAGCTCGGTCCTTGTAATCTGTAGATTCGGTGGTGGACAAAAGTGGCAGTGGAAGCCAGCCTGTCCTGCGGGAGCCTGGTGCCCCAAGAATCCGTTTGACGACTTACGAAGCTTCCAGGTCCCCTAAACTCTAAACCCTAAACCCTAAACTTTAAACCGTAACCCTAAACCCTAAACTCTAAACCGGGATTCCAGGTCAGAGCTGGCCAAGTTGAGCCACGAGATTTGCAGTGGTGGCGCGAGCCATCTTTCCTTGGATGTCAGCGATATCCAAGTGCGACTCGGTTTGGCAACGGTATTGGAGATCGGGGATCCTTTCTTCGTCACCTAAGTCATTCAGGAGTCAGGAAATGAGGAATCGGGATCTTGGAAGGTCGAGTGAACAAAATCCGAAGCATCACATCAAGCTCAATGAATGTAGTCTCATCATCAGGCAATCATTCATCTAGAATCTAGACCCTACCCGGCTTCCAGTTTGTTCAGCAAGGTTTGGGATGGTTTGGGTCATGAGGCTGACACGTGGCATCAGCGGAGTCAGAGAGTCAGAGTGTCAGATTCAGTGGCAATTGGTGCATTCGATGGAGGCAAGCCGCAACTGCCGTCAAAGCCACGGAAGCAGAGGAGGATGAGAATAAAGCGGAGGAGGAGGACGATGCGCAGGAGAAGGAGGACAGTCTGACAGTCTACATTTACATGTCATGTCGCATTGTCGCATGTCTAGAGTCGATAACTCGAAAACCCACAAGAACTTTCAATTTCAATCACAGTACCCTATAGTACCATAGTGCGTTTTTGTCAGTAGTCTCAATGCATCAGTGCAAGGCCCCACGGCGCAGATTACGTTTGATGTTGTACTGTAACTTCATTATGTAAACGCTACAGTGTTAGCAATGTTAGCTGTTAAGTTGCTAACTTCAGAAATCACAGCACTTGTGCCAACCGCAGGACGAGATTCAAGAGACTTCGCCGTCGCCCAATCGCAAACGAAGGAAGGCAGAACCCGAATCCAACGTTCCGGACTTGCAAGCAGGGCTAAGCAAGGTAGGGAGTAGGCGACTAGCCGGTCTTCCTTCCCGTGCGCATTAAAGTAACTAAGCCTTGACACGGTTGATGATATAAATCCTGCATTACCCATAATAAGGAATATATGGGAACTATGGTATATTCATTATTGTGGGTCATGCAGGATTTGTATCATCAACCGTAATAAACAAACTTAAACAAACCAGACTCGACCCAGGCTACAGTCGAGCGACCTTTGCCGCAGACAAGACTCACGATGCTCGCGATGATGCAACCAGAGTCCCAGCGGGACTCAATCGAGCTTTTGTTTAACGAAGATGCTGCCGGCGCGGGCGAGTTCATTGCGTACTTGAAGGGCCACGAGTTTTTTCCTGCTTATTGCAAGTATGTGCTGGAGGAAGTTGGGGAAGAAGACTATTCGCTATGGGCCTTCGGGAGTGAAGAGTCTGACCCGTTAGAGGCCGGAGTCCGTAGCTTGCGGTTGTGGGTGGTTGTGGGCCGTGGGCCAGTGGGATGCGAATCTGGGTGTGTGTAGATATGTATGTATTACTGTATCAGTATGTTATATGTATGTATTACTGTATAGTATAGTATGTTATATGTATATATATATATATATATATATATATAGGTCGGTAGTCGGTAGGTCCAGTAGGTAGGTAGTAGGTAGTAGGTAGGTCGATCGGTCGGTCGGTCGCTGGCTGGCTGTGTGGGTGGGCGGGGGCGGGCGGGCGGGTGGGTGGGTGGGTGGGTGGGTAGTGGGTCGTAGTCGTAGTCGTAGTAGTGTGTGTCGGCAGTGTAAACATCCCCACTGAACACTGAGCAGCTGTAACTGTCAGACAAAAGTCGAGAGTCGAGAATATTATTTAGTTGAACTCCGATGTTGCTTCCTTGAGTCCGCCCCGGCCCCGTCCCGGCTCCAGCGTCCAAGTTCGCAGTCAGTCAGTCCCAGTTTCAAACCTTAGTCCTGGACAGGATGTTTGCGATTTCATCCGCCAGTTCGCTTTGGCGGAAGCATCAAAGTCGACGGCAGTGAAGCCAGAGGCCAGAGTAGCAACAGCCGGCAGCGAACAGTCAGACTCATCAGATAGGGCAGTGCAGTGAGTTGGGATTCCAAACAACACGAGTCGACTCACATGATTCATAGTCCGAGTCCATGGTTCATTAGTTCATGAGCAAACATATCGGAATCTGAAGCTGGACTCGGACTTACACCCTACTCTACCCTGGTTTGCTTTGTTGTTCATGGTTTGTTGCACAAGCGGCCGAAGCATCAGGACCATGAGAAAAAAAACAAAGACCAGGACCACAAGGGCGAGCTGGCTGCCACACCGCAGGCTGCCCCGGTCCCCGGTGTATTTGAATCCAATGCTCGATGCTGAAAGCCCAATCTCCCGAAGCCCCCCAGCCCCTAGCCCAATGAGAATTGAGTTTCCAAGAATTTCCAAGCTATAACGAAAGGGTGTATGCTGTAGCAGGAGCAGTCGAAGCATCAAGGCCAAGAGAAGGAAAATCCGGAGGACGACAAGCTGGATGAGCAGAATGCACAAAGCAAGGGATCCGATGCGCCACAGGCTCTTCCGGTGTACTTGCATCCTGCGCTGAAAGCCCTGTCTCCCCAAGCCCCTCGCCCTCGCCCAACAAGAAAACAACTTCGAAGCAGTAATAAGCTACAGGCAATAACCAGTGGATTCATGAATGCAGAAATACGAACCCGAAGCCTGAAGCTGGATCTATAAACCTTACCTAGGCCTAGGCCCTGGTCTGCTCTGCGGTTCATGCTTTCTTGCACAAGCGGCCGCAGCATCAGGACCATGAGAAAAAAGACAAAGACCAGGACCACAAGGGCGAGCTGGCTGCCACACCGCAGGCTGCCCCGGTCCCCGGTGTACTTGAATCCAATGCTCGATGCTGAAAGCCCAATCTCCCGAAGCCCCCCAGCCCCTAGCCCAATGAGAATTGAGTTTCCAAGAATTTCCAAGCTATAACGAAAGGGTGTATGCTGTAGCAGGAGCAGTCGAAGCATCAGGGCCAAGAGAAGGAAAATCTGGAGGACGACAAGCTGGATGAGCAGAATGCACAAAGCAAGGGATCCGATGCGCCACAGGCTCTTCCGGTGTACTTGCATCCTGTGCTGAAAGCCCTGTCTCCCCAAGCCCCTCGCCCTCGCCCAACAAGAAAACAACTTCGAAGCAGTAATAAGCTACAGGCAATAACCAGTGGATTCATGAATGCAGAAATACGAACCCGAAGCCTGAAGCTGGATCTATAAACCTTACCTAGGCCTAGGCCCTGGTCTGCTCTGCGGTTCATGCTTTCTTGCACAAGCGGCCGCAGCATCAGGACCATGAGAAAAAAGACAAAGACCAGGACCGCAAGGACGAGCTGGCTGCCACACCGCAGGCTGCCCCGGTGTACTTGAATCCAATGCTCGATGCTGAAAGCCCAATCTCCCGAAGCCCCCCAGCCCCTAGCCCAATGAGAAAATGAGAATTGAATTTCCAAGAATTTATAACGAAAGGGTGTATGCTGTAGCAGGAGCAGTCGAAGCATCAGGGCGAGGACGACAAGCTGAATGAGCAGAATGCAAGCAAGGAATCCGATGCGCCACAGGCTCTTCCGGTGTATGTGCAGCCAGTGCTGAAAGCCCTGTCTCCCCAAGCCTCCTAACCCCGCACCCTATTCTCCTTGACCACTTCGGCTTAAGCCCTGTGAGTTTGACTTTGGTCTGCAGTGAGCAGTGAGGAGCGTGATATATCACATGATCAAATGACTTTTCACAGTCGGCCTTGACAGTGCACCACATCCATTCATCCATTCGTTTACCATGCTGAAATCCGGCACTGTCACTGTCTTGAGTTAAGTTGAGCCTTGATCTTGAATCCCCAGCTGCGAAGGCAGCAGACGCAGCTGCCCCCCCTCACGGAGTGGACGTGGAAATGGCCGGTCAGTCCGATGCTGAGATAGACAGCGCAATGACCAAGAAAGCAAAAGTGGCGGCGGCAAAGGCTTTGTTGAAGCCAAAGGCTTCCCCCAAGGCAGGCCATAAAAGGAAAATGGCGGAGGAGGCGCAGGCAGAGCACGCTGCGGCGCCGGTCACGACGGCAGCGGCAGGATCCAAGGACTCCAAGGCTGGTGCCAAGGTGGCCAAGGTGGCCAAGGCTAAGGACAAGGACGATGGCGACAAGAACAAGAAAAAAGACAAGGAGAAAAAAGAGAAGGACAAGGCTTTGTCTCATGTTGCCGTGCGCAGACTTCGGCTCTTGGGATTGGAGTTGGCTACTTGTACTATGTAGGTTCCTGGAACATTTGGGGCAAATTTGGGACTTGACAAAGTTCCCGGCGATCAACAGTCTGTCGACAATGAAGGAGCAGAAGAAAAGCAAAGACAAGAAAGACAAGAAAGACAAGGACACGGATCAGGACGTGGACAAGGTAGATCGGGATTGGGTCAAGAGTTACAGAGTCTAGAGGGGCAACGAGGGTTTAAAACAGAGGCAACAGAGGTGTGAGGGGCCCTTGCAAACCCGGAGACTAACCACCCGTTGATTCGCCGTTGATCGTTGAGCAATAGGCCCATTCGTATTCGCAGTTCGTAGGTTGCACTGCCCCAATGCCCCTCGGCCCGGCCCGCTGTCAGGCGCAGACGACGTTGAACTTCAAGTCCTGAATGGAAGCGTCACCTGTGCACCGACAGCAGCAATCATGGCGGCGGGCGGCGGGCGGGCATTGTTTCTCTTTCCTAGCCTAGCCTACTGCTACTAGCCGCCATGTTCCAAGTCGCTGAGTCACATAGTGTCGTCCAAGGATCCCAGGAATCTATAAGGATGCCATTTTGGCATGTTGCTCTGGAACGATTCTTGGCAGTCTTGACGAATCTGAAGCTTGAAGCCTCTTAAGTTGGTCCCTTAGTCATAAAAACATGATTCCAAGCCCAAGGATCCGAGGATGCCTTTTGAGCATGAGATGGTTGCTCCTTTACGATTCTTGGCAATCTTGACTCCTGACCTGTTGAATCTGAAGCCTGAAGGTCAACAAAAATTTGATTCCAAGTCCAAGGATCCGGATGCCATTTTGGCAGTCTTTCGTCGCTCTTTGACGACTCTTGGCACAACTTGGCCTTTTGACTCTGAAGTGTGGGCGTTTGGCATTCGCCGAATCCTTGAGTCTTATACTTTACGACTGCGCCTTATGCCATCCCAGGATATCATACCAGGTATGATTTGGAGAATTGGAGACTCTTGGCCTACCGACTGTTGGTGGCTTCTCTCGGCCCTAACCCTAGACTCGACCGTCACCCTTAAAACAACTAAACCCTAAGCCTTAAACGCCTTAAACTTGTGCCATCCGAGGATTCTATTTTGGAGTGATGCTGCTGGACTGGTGGCCTCGCGAAGCCTCTTGGCTCAGGTATGTTGACGACAAGCGAGTCTTATACCCTACGACTCCGACTGCGCTGTATGCATCCCAGGATACCACGTATGATTTGGAGACTCTTGGCAAACCGACTGTTGGCTTCTAAGCCCTGGCTAAGCCTAAATCCTAAGCCGAAACCCCTCAACTTAAACCCTAGACCCTAGACTTGACCGTGACCCTTAAACCACTAAACCCTAATCTGAGGATTCGGATTCTATTTTGGAGTGATGCTGCTGGACTGGTGGCCTCGTGAAGCCTCTCGGCTCAGGTATGTTGATGACAAGACCACGAAGGTGTGCAAGGTAGGTCAAGCTTGAAGCCAAGTGAGTATGCAGCTCATAGTGCCATCACCATCCAAGGATGCCATTTTGGTACGATGCTGATTTCTGAGTCTGAGCGATTCTGGTCGGTACGTGAGTCGCCTGTAATTCCGCCAAATTGCAACGGGCCCCCAGGTGTTTCAGAAAACAAACATGGGCCAGGCCACCTTGATAGTGTCACTCCCCCAAAGTAGTAGCTCATTTCAGATAAATAAGTTGAAGGCGCGAAGGCTGACCGCGAGGGTAGGTTCGTTCGTTCAAAAGTCGAGACGGCAAACGGGCCCGTCGGACGAAAAAGCCTCAAAGCAGCATGCAATTCCCAGCCAGCCGGCTTTTCGCCACGCTTGGGGGACAGGGAGAGAGCGAGAGAGAGACAGACAGACAAACATAGAGAACGAGAGTGAGAGCAGTTCGGTTCAAACTACTGGCTCAAGAAGGTCCAAAGTCCAAAGGCTCCAAATTTCAATCTGAGTACAGTTATAATCGGAAGTGTTAAACATATCTGCGGGGCCCCGGGGCCCAAGCCCCGTCATTTGATGTGTTAGCTTTGGATTCTGGGCCACGCGAGTCGAAACAAAGCGTATCTTCGTTTCGATGTGGACAAAAGCCGGCCAGCAATTGCACAACCCATAATAGCACTGACACCTTGGCAAGCCTGGAAAGCAAGCTCTGATTACAGCGACAGGCGGCTTGCCCTGATTCTTTCTGTAGGCTCAGAGGCTTTGCGGGGACAAACCGCGGCTGTTTCCAAAAATGCCCAAGTCATTGAACTCATATGTGAGATGGGGTACCCTGTTTCGGTTGGTTTTGTTTTGGAATGGCAAAGCAAAAAAATAAAACACAGTTCCGTCCGGGAACTTATATTAAAAAGCAGGAATTATGAAATTTAATACCCCAAACCGAAAAAACCTAAAACCCAAATCCCCTAAACCAGAAGCCTGGATTGCCCGAGTGTGAGCGCCGAAACCAAAAACCCCTTAACTCCTAAAACGCCCTCTCCCAAAGGGTCCAAGTATCATTATGGTATATACTTAGAACTTAGAACCCCCAAACTACCCTATAAGTATATACCATAATGATACTTGGACCCTTTGGGTCTTCTAAGCAGCATAGCACAGGCCAGACGGCCGGGCGCGGTGCGTCGCATCTTCGTCGAAGCCGACCCGGCTGCAGGCAGGAAGGATCCCAAATAGTACAGGAAATCGTTAAGGCCAAAAAAAAAAGTACCATTGTAGTGAGCCTGATAGATCCCTTTAAAAGGGAACCCTATTCTAATTCTTAAGGAAGGATCCCGAAAGGGTTTAGAGTTTCCGGGTGCAGGGTTAGATGAGTACGGATGCCTAGCACCCGAGAGCCCAATCGCGCTCCTCAGGGCTCCTTGTGGCAAAATGAAGGCTAAGAAACTCTGTTCGAATTATTGAACCCTAAACCCTAAACCCCCTAAACCCCTAAACCCTAAACCCCTTAACCCCCAAACCCTAAACCGTGCCCACCCTGCACTTCGCATCACGACGCTAAACCCCAAGCCGACATGTCACGAGCAGGACGTTTCACAGTTCAGCTCTTTGACATGGCGACTGGCCGATGGGAGCTGGTTGAAGTGGACGATTTCGTGCCATGCACCATGGAGGAGCATGATATCTTTGACTAAAGCTTTAGTAAAACTTGAAAGGCCTCTTGTGCTCCATGAATTGAAGCGTTGTATGTATTCATGGGCCCCCCAAACCCCATTCTAATTACAAAGGCCCCCCTTTTACTCCGCCTGAAAGCCCTTCACCATCTTGCAACGCGTTGCAGCGAGAAGGACGACTGGTCCGATATTCCCTACGAAGAGCAGGTGCGGCATCAAGAGACAAAGGGCACATGCTTGTTCAAAAGTAGCTCGGAATGACGCGATGAGGGCATGATCCAGGAGGAGCGATCCTAAGAATACATGTTAGCAAGGATTTAAAGCAGGGTGTTGTATATTGTGGTATACTGTCCCGGGTTTTACCAGTTTGAAGTTCGGTTGTTCACGACCTTGGGGCGGCCGCAGGCTGATGGGACGAGGGTTTACAACTACAAGGACGTCTACACCGAGCGCCTCGGTGCAAGATCCGGGTAGTTAGAGTAGCTGAGTAGCAGAGTCAGGTACACTTGCGGAGGGACTCATCATCATGGGAAGCAGAGACCTGAAGCATGGTACATCATAGCATCCGAGCCGGGATTGTTGCATTGAATGGTATTCTGCAAGCGCTCCTGCGTGAGAGATGGCTCTTACCTGCTGCAGGCTGTGGCAGCAGCCAGCGTTAGGGCTCCGAGCCAACCCACACGTAGCTCAAGCCCGTGCGAGTTTCCTGATTCCTCATCCCTCCCCATGTCGGAGTTGGATCGTGGTTTCGGAACTTAGGAACGGCCGTAACAAATGCTACAGGCTTCAAGCCCCCTGCAACCCCCTCAAGGAGTGGCGCCAAGCGCCTCCGAAAGAAGTGGGTGCCCCTCTTCGGCAGACCCAACGGGCGACAGGCAGCGCTCGCGCTGAGGTCTTCGGGTTAGGCTGGAAGTTCGAGGCATTATTGGCAGATTCCGAGCAGGTAGGTTTCGAACATCCTGCCCAATAAGAGGCATCCTTTAAAAGAAACTGCCAGCAAAGCAGTTTTGAGCGCCCCGGCCTTAAAACATCCCTAAACTACGAACCCCCGGAATCCCCGGAACAAGGAAGTGTCAAATTCAGAAGATGGGGCCGGGGGGGGGCGAAGAAGCAACCGCCTTCCTGCAGGTCTGGGCCCTGATCTTGGAGAAGGCATCGGCCTCTTGCGAGATTTGGGTCTCGGTTTAGGGGTTTCGGTCCGCCTTGAAATATCTTTTGGCAATGTTTGCCAGAGGCTTCCTGGTTGCTGAACCAGGCTTCACAATTCCACTTCAAAGGGGCTAGATGTGACCGGGGGTGACTGCTGCGACTGCGGGGGGCTGCGGGGCTTTAGCCACCTTACGCTACTCTCGAAAATCGTTGCCTCTTGGTGGTTCTTTAGCTGAAGCTTCCGCGCCGTCGATCACCGCATGTTGTGGGTGGCTTATTTGAGGGTGCCCGCTCTGGTTAAGCGCAACGCGGTCATGCGTAGTCTGAAGCTACCGTTTACAGTAGTGGAGTGCTGACATGTTCTTGAGCTGCGGTGTCGTACTGGGCGCCGAGATCACAGTGAGAGAGTTGTGGTTCGTGTGGACATGATGCAACATCTGTCTTGCGAGCAACATGTCTTGCTATGACGGACCGCTGTAGGGCCTAGCAGTACGGTAGAGGCTAGGCCCCACACTCAATGGTCGTCGCGATGCGGTCAGGAGCGACTGAGGCAAGCTATTGAGTCATTAAGTTTCGAATTTAAGACTCCAGCTCCAGGAGTAGTGGAGGAAGACTACAGCTCCGGGCGAAGGGGAAAGCCTGTTGCAAAAAAGGGCTCATGGCAAAAGCCGGATCAAAAGGACCAGCGAGTATGAGGAGCCACTCATGAAAAGAAACTGTGCTGGCATTGACGAAGTCTCTCTAATTAACGTTCTTTCTTTCTGTCTCTCTCTCTCTCTCTCTTGCTTTCACGTCCGAGACCCCCAAACCGCCCAAACCCTTATGTAAACTCCCAAACCCGCAAGCCCTAAACACCCCAAACCTGTTGTTTCGATTCTTGCTGTTTGCTCTTGACAAGGCCATGGCTAAGTTCGTGGGCTCCTACGCCAACCTCTCCGGAGGTACAGAGCCCTTCGCGCTGATGGCGCTCACAGGCCCCCTTTTGTCATCGAAGTAAGGGTTTGGGGGGCCCAGGGTTTAGGACCCCGCTGTGGATCGAGTTCCGGTGTGGGGGGGGTAGAGTGGGTTTTGCAGAGGAGACGCATTCGACATCGGTGCTCGAGGGTTGCGTCCCGACTTCAGACAGATGCTTGTGGATGTGAGCCGCGTTCGTTCATAAGACTCATTCCTTCAAGTGAAAGTCTGGAAGTAACATCTCGTCTGAATCATCAGAACAACTATATCAGTATCATAGCAGAAGCAGCAAGAGTCTTGGCGCAGAGCTGTGTATTATCCCACTGGCCACTCGAGCTTGAAGAGCATGCCATGTGCGTGAGACAGTCGCGACTGCATCCTTTGGTTCTTTTTGAGGTTTTCCGGTGGTCTATGTGTTCCAGCGTCCGGCCATCGACGATGCCGAGCTCCTCGAAGATGTTGAGTTCTAGCCCTTGACATCATTTCTTGTGAGTGCACTTTGCCCGCCACATGTCTGGAAGTCCACATTGCAGCTCGGATGGCATTCCTTGTGGTAAGGACAGCAGCGTTCAAGAACCACTGGGAGTGGAAGGGCGCGCAATATGGCAGTCGCACGAACACCGGCATCGGCTCCAGTCGTTTGAGCCATGTTCCAGACGACCTTCTGGATGAGGAAATCTGGGAGAAGGTGGTGAGCTACATCGCACGAATCTTGGCAGCACTTCATGTGAGGGATGATGAAAACCCCGAGAGCATGTTCTACCTAGATGCGTCCGTAAGTTGAGAGCAATCAATGTCCTTGTAAAACGATGAGAGCAAAAAAGAACGACAAGGAAGATGTGCTACATCATGCAGTCTCAAAGTCATCCAACGTCCTGTAAAACGATAAGAGTAAGATCAAAACGATAATCGAATTCAGGGTCAAGCAAATGACAGGGGGTTTTCAAGCACGTACTTGTAGCTGATACATATGTATATATATATACCCCCACATATACATACAAACTATATATATATATATATATATATATATGTAACCATGTCAGAAGACGCCTCGAATCCCCTATCCTAAGTGTTCGAAGCAGCTCGTGTGATGGCCGGCCGAAGGCACTTGTCCCGTCACTGCATCGATCACTCGATTTCCGGCGGCCAAGGCTGTGCGTGCCTTGGTCTGCGTCATGGATCGGGGAGCTTTTCTGTCAGAAAACACTTCTTGTTGTCATGTTCATGTTTGGGCATATTTGCCCGGGGGCAGAAAAGAAAAGAAACAACACTCACGAGGACACCGATCAAACCTCCATGTGTTCGAACACACTGCATGACCGTGTTGGTTTCCGAGTTACTTGACTTTCTCTGGCACAATGTGCAGCCTCTTGCGCAGTGGATAAAGGCGGCTGGCATGGTAGTGTCAAGTCATGTTGTGGAGCTTTGTGCTGACAAGCCTCCGCGCAGGTTGAGACTGCACGGCGCCAGAAAGCATGCGAACACATCACAACGCAAAAGTCCCGGATTGATTTGCACTGCTATCGCTGTTGGTCCCACTCAAATACGGGTCTAGTCGGTTCAGGTGGGGTCGATGGTCTGCATCGACTATGACTATGATTCAGAGCGACCATTAAACCTTGAGAGCTTAAACTTCTTTACCGATTGGTTTTGATCAAGTAAGTAGACTACATGACTACCCAGAACCTTTTTCAGACTGGAAGTGAAATTCTTTCATGTTTCCAGCCGGCTTGACATGCCAAGGAGGCTGAGGAGCATGCTGATCGACTTCTCTTGTCTTAGCATTCCAAAGTCCAAACTCCCGATGTCATTACGTCTGAGCTGCACCTGCCTGAAACTGACAAGCCGAAATCGTGCCCGAGGTGATTACTACCGTCCGGACGGGCTGATCTCTGGCCACGCGTATGCCGTACTGGATGCGAGGGAAGTCATCTTGCATAATGAAACTGGGCTAAGAGAGTGCACGAGTACTCTCGACGTTTTCCGTCCTGTTGCAATGATGCCTACGTCGCCTACGTGTGAGTCGCTTCGAGCGCCATGCCTGTTCCGAGGCTCTGGTCGTTTCTTCTCTCTCTCTATCCATCCTCTCTTTCTCTCTCTCTCTCTCGGTCGTGCTCACCCTCCGGCAAGAATCCGCGAGAGATTCCACACACAGAGGAGAGAGTCAAACTTGTAAGTACTTATTCTCGACCTGCTTGATTATGACCAGCAGCAGCAGCAGAGGTGGCAGTAGGGCAGCACTGTCAGGAGTCGACGTCGTGCTGATGCTGGTGTATTTAGTAGTAGCCGTACTACTACTACTACTACTGCTGCTACTACTACTACTACTACTACTTCTACTACTACTACTACTACTACTACTACTACTACTACTACTACTACTACTACTACTACTACTACCACTCTGCTGCTGCTGCTGCTGCTGCTGCTGCTGCTGCTGCTGCTGCTGCTACTTCTCCTATTACATCTACTCCTCCTCCTCCTCCTCCTCCTCCTCCTCCTCCTCCTGCTTGGTGCATTGTTGTTGTTGCGACCAATACTGAGTTCGATTTCTTCGAGCAAGAAAGCATTTCAGCCTCAGGATCAAGGGCGGCGCAACGTGCCTCTCCGCTTGGTGGCCTTGAAACCTCGCTATGTTTATGGCTTCTTCTGTTGATGAGACGCGGGAGGATTTGCAGTGCTGGCTGAAGCAGAGGTGAGATGGAAAATTGCGTGTGTTTGGCCTTGAGAACAGAGGGGGCCGCAGGCCTCCAAGTCTAAGGAAGAACCCTCACGGCGACTGGAAAGCGGAGGGAGGCCGCGAATTGACTGTGTCAATGTTGAAGGGATTTTGGCCACAAGTTATGGCTCTCTTGCTTCCAAAAAGCTATCCCAATTCATCATGTTAGAGGAGCTAGAATTCCGCCATCCTTTCCAGAGCCGACTGGCCGGGTGGAAAAGTCACTCTCTTTTCCGCTCGCACGAACATGCTCTACAAATGGGTCCCTTCCCATCTCAAGTTACAGCTTTCTGCACGAGGTTGGGCATCGAGCGAACCTGACACCTGAACCAGCTACCTTCTGAAAGCCAGTGTCGGTGTCTCTAGGTTGCGGTCCCCGCAGCAGGAACGTTCTCCTCTACCTGGCTGGGGGAGTGGGGCCATCAGTCTGATCGGTGGCAGCGACACCCTGAGGTGGGAACCGGAAAGGCAATTTTCAGCATGAAGGGCTCAAGGGCTCCATGCCGCCTATTCCCACTCACGATCAGATCGTCATGGTGGTTTAAGAGCATTCAAAAACTGAAGCAACACTGATCGTCAGCAGCATGAGACAGGTGGCGCGCCAACTTGCTCCCCGGTTGCATGTTGTCGAGCAGGGTTCTCATTGCTCGTGCCGACGCTATGCGTGGCTGGGAGTCGGTTCTGCTCTCAAGTGTTGAGCTATAACTAGCTCAATCATAAGTTCGAGCCAGAGTTTCCGGAGCTTCTAGTTTCACCGCAATACTAAGACTCATAAAGCTGAACATGTCATGATGCTCAACAATAACAATTCAACATGCTACTGACAATAGTATCGGTGACACTTCTAGTAACGAGACTCATAATCGTCCATGAACCCCGAAATCCTCCATCCGATCTCTTGCTTGGGTTCGACATGTGAAGCCTGACACGGCCTTGAAAGCGTCGCCAGCCTATCCATCCTGCCAGACCCTCCGGCCCAAGTGGATGAACCCATTCAAAGTAAACGATCACCCAGATCTTTTTGAAAGGTGCAGTTGCATTTCTCGTGGCCCCCCGCCTTCTGCTTGCATCTAGATATCGTAGCCGGTTGTCTTCGGGATTCCCTGTTCGGAGAATCGTCCCTACACCTTTTGCTTGTAGGTAGGTGCCCTGCCGTTCAACCCGGGGATCGTCAGGGTCTACGCATGCCGGCTCCTGGAGGGAGTCGGGCCTGACAGCGTCAGGACGTCGCGGGTGCGGTCGTCACTGTCAGCCCGAAGAACGGAGGCGAAGGGTTGCCGGTTATTCTTCGGTCTGGGGCGATCTGACCTAGGAGGTATGGCGTCGCTTGATCTGCTTTGCATGTAGACATAAGGCCATGATAGAATGAAGGCTCCCTTTGGACTGCGCACTTGCTTATCTCGACAGGTGCTGGGGCATGGTTTGTTGACACGTCTCTGTGGCCTTTGCGCATCTGCAACATCTCCCAACATCTCCCATAGACGTACTGTCGCCATAGAGCCCCAGCCGCCAGCTTCACTACCCTCGTCATACTTGAAGGTTTAGCGTCAGAACAGCGGCTCAGCATGTCGCCCACGGTTTAGTTTAGGGCCTAGGGTTTCGGGATCCAGGTGCAAGAGTTTTCCGGATGTTTCAGGTTTCCTGGGCTTGGCTTCGGGGCTTCGTACGTATTCTGTACTCTATATACACATATCAATATCATTGAACCATATATATATATATATATATGCATGTATATATATATATATATATATATATATATATATATATATGTATGTATGTATAACAGTATATATACATACATACATATATATATATATATGTATATACATACATACATATACATATACATATACATATACATATACATATACATATACATATACATACATACATATATATATATATATATATATATATATATATTTGTGAGTCGAAGGTTGCGAAGCTGTGCCTCCTTCAACCCGTGTCAGATGTGTGACCTGCAATGCGGTCTTCGGATCAGCCAAGTGGGAGCCAAAAAAATACATATATACATATATACACATATATGTATGTATGTATCTTTATTGTTATTTTTCGTTTATGTTGGGAATTCTTGTTTCAGTGTTTCTGGCTCCGGCTCTTTGGCTTCTGTCTCGGAATTCGCCCTCTGCGGCTCTGCGATTTCTCTCGAGGTTCGGTGAAAGAAAGCAGCAAGAGAAAGCAAGAAAGGAAGTGAGCCAGAACAACAAAAGACTACTGGGTTTGCGGGCACGTATACTTGGCGAAATTCCTGTACCTCCAAGCCCCTTAGTTCGCCCATTTCTTAAGCTGCGCATGTTTACTTGCGATACAGTCAACGCAACTGTGTGTGTGTCGTCCCAGCAAAATTCTTGCAGATTGAAGGGGCTGCCTCTTACTTCATGTTTAAGCGTTCAGTTGTCAGATATATATATATATACATGCGCCTTTATATCTGTGTATACATATAGACACATGCATGTATATGTAATTATGTATGCATATATACATAATATATTGTCATAAAAGCAGACTTGTGTATGCGTGTGAAGCGCCTTTATGTATACGAAGCTGGGCATCTCGACAGCCACGGAGGGGCGAGCCCTCACAGTCCGCAACGGAGCTCCTACCAGACGGTTCAGAGCTCTGCAGCTTGGCTCAGAGCCATGTAAAGGGGGGTTTTGGGGCTGTTTGGGAGTGTGTAAGTCCTCTAGAGTTCTGAAGCTGCTCCATAAGAAAATTTCTAAGGCTAAAGGCTTCCAAAGGCTCTGCAGCGCATAAGACTGGGCATACTCTGCGACATTTCCGTGAGCCCCACCCTAAAGCGCCGCTCTTCCGACCCGAACAGTCCTCGCCTGCAGAGTCCGAGCTGCGAGAGTCCAAACTTTGAACTTTAATTCAAGTCCCGTCGGCTGAGCGGGTGGGAAGAGGCCCTAACCCCCATAAGCCCGATATCAGGAGTCCTGAAAAAATCCTAAACCCCTATATGCCCGAGATCAGGAATCTTGCTTCTGGATGCCATGGGATGAGTTCAAAGTGACCTTCGACAAGCTCTGCGTGTCACCGAAGCCCTCGAGCCCGGAGCTCGGATCGCTGGGATGAGGGGCCCTGAAAAGGGGCTCCTTTAAGGGCTCAGGGTTGAGGCTTCAGGGATCGCATATGTGCATATCCATATATATATATATATATATATACATATACAGGTTTTAGATTTATATAGTTGTATATATATATATATATGTGAGAGAGAGAGGTTGCTAGAGACGATCTGCTCTTTCACGCCGCACTATCTTCTCCCATCGAAGAGCTGGAATCCGAAATTCTACTTCCCGAGAGGTAGCCCCTAATTTCCGGCTGATGCTGTACACCCGCTTCAATCGTCAACCTTTGTATGTACTGACCAGCAAGCATGCTTGCACTCCGCTGTGAACGAAGGGTGTAGCGACTGCCACCTGGCGATTGTGCCTAAGCCATGAAAACACGTAGGTTTCAAACCCCCAACAACCTAACACCGCTGAGCCAGTTCCAAACTAAGCCGCTTCCTCCAGGCTCGGAGCTATCCGACGGCCCCTCCACCATCCCTCTCCGCGCAGCAGCTGCCGGCCAGCCAGAGTCTCGCCCGAGCCATCCTTTCACGATGGTTTAGGCTAATATAGGGGCTTCAATAATTACCTACTATTTTGGGGCTCCTTGTTATATTTACAGTTTAGTGTAGTGGGCCATAAAAAGCCCTGTTTTAATTATTAGGCCCAGTAGTATCGGAGTTTTGGATTAAGGGGGAGTGTGTGTTTGGCTAGACCGGGCTGCTGGACAACGGGACTGTTTACACTGGATTATCTGTTTTTGCGCCAGGCTTAAACCTAAGTGTGTGACACCACGTGTGTGTAAGTTCGTCGTGCATGTACATGGATATACACACCCTGTAGCGACACATTGTACACGCTTGCAAAAATTGTATGAACTCACGGTCATGCAGATGTAGCGCCGAAAGGGCACAGTATACTATGTCGTCGGGTTTTGCTGTTTTTGTTTCATGCAAGTCTCAACATGTGAGCGGCGCTCGAAGGTTTGGCCGCTCAATGTAAGCCAGGTCGCGTTCCAGGTGGTTGATAATGCGATGACATGGCAAGTTCGACGAGTAATCACACTATTTTATGAAGCCGGCCACTTGCGAGAGACACTCAGATGCCTGAAAGGAGCTTTGCCCAAGCTTGGCGAAGATGGCACCACTGCCGCTCCGCAGCTTGACTACATCTCAGTTGCGATATGTGTACAGGCCTGTGCCAACCTTACAGCTTGCATCCTGTAGAGCGCTGCAAACTTGGCTGCCAGATCACGGAAGTAGTGGTAGAGGCGCTGCTGTTGGAGCACCGTGACAAAGATCCTTGCAAGATTTTGGGGCTGCAGCCGGGCACTGGGGTTAGCTGAAATTATCGGAGAGCGAAAAGGGAACCTGAGAGATGCATTACATACTGAGAAGTGGTGAAGGCCCCAACCAGAAAGCCATCTCTCCGGTTCCTAAGCCCTAAGCATCAGTGTGGCCGCACTGGGATGACTACCAGTCAGGTGACAGACCATCATGTTGGGGTTGATGCAGGCCCATGGTAGGATTGTTTTCAGGACCCTTCTTCGATCCTTGTTTTAAGGGCGACGGGGCCTTTTACAGGCCCAAGAAAGGGAATGTTAGCGTGAAGATATATTCAACTACTCTAGGGGCCTAACTAATTATAGTATAACGAGCCCCCAAATCCTATTCTAACTATTAAGGCCCCTATATTGGAGTGCTTTGTTGATTCTTTCATTGCCAGGCCGAGAGCTACACCAGGTCACCGTCACCTTCGATCCATATGTGACGATGCCAGAGTTCTTGGATGATGGCGCCCTGGAGACGCGACTTAGGCGGAGGGCCTAGACTTAAGGGATGTTCGGGTTTAGGGTTTTAGACATAATTCAGGGGCAGAAAAGGGTTTCGAAGCCTTGTGGGAGCTCTTGCGAAGTTCAGTGAGGAAGGGAGGAGTGGTCCATGGCCCGAAATCAAAGACGGCCTGAGACCGCATTTGCTGTCCGAGTGTGAGAGGGTGAGAGTCTGCCGTGAATAATGAGAGTAGTCGTGGAATGGAAACGTGATTTGCGGCCTTTTCTGTGAACATTAGAAGCCCTCTGCCCCGCAACCGCATGTGGAATTTGGATGGTTATGACCTTACTTGTGCTGACCGTCGTCTGTTACATGCCAACAGCCCATGGCAATTCGACACTTTGCCTGTGACTTGGTCATCCAATATCAGTCGTAATTATAGGTGCATGCTGTACACTCTGTGGCAAGCGTATACTCTCTCTGAGTGTTGCTACGCTCTGAAGGTCGTTTCACTGGTCTTGCTCATGACCTGAACGAGGGGGCTGGTTTTAGGGTGTGGGGCGGCTGCCTCTGAATGAGACTTTCGCCAAAGCGGTAAGCCTTGCCTGGTGAGTACTGTTGATGGTGTGTCCTGGATACCCCAGTTGACAGCGTTTTGGAGGGTGTGATACCGATGCTCTCTGCATGCTGAAGTACCTCTCGTCTTCAGACCTTG